TAACTAGCTAGTTTTGCCAACTATCGTTCACGAATAATAATACCACATTCACCCCTCCCTTCTATAAATCTGTTACATAATCGGACAAATATGCGGGCGGATGTTTTGAACGAACAGGACGCTGTGTTCTATCCAAAATCTCTGAAGACCGTGGTTGTTCATCATTCTTTGCTTCTTCCGGCTTTTCCCCTTGCAGAACGGTTGTTTGATGTTCAGGTGGTTCCACTTCATCCTCGTCTTCGGTTTTTATTTGGATTTCTCCTCGAGGCGCAAGATATCTAGTTGATACCGTAGTTTCTCGACCATCTGGAAGTCTGACGTAAGCATATTCCGGGTTTGCTTCTATTAGTTCTACCTCTTCCACTAACGGGTCATATTTACTGGTACGGACATATTTCTTCATTAAAACTGGTCCAGGTTCAGTTAACCACGTTGGTGTAAAATTCCCATTGAATGATCGGGTGATTAAACATCCGCTCGTGGGGTGTGACATTTGTCGCCGTACAGAGTAGGGATCGGATAGAGTGTAATGCGGAGTCCAGTACTTTTTCCCACTGTTCAGTTTCCTTGTTGTTCGATTTGAGGGCCAGCATGATAGTCTTCCATATTATTCCATTGTATCTTTCCACTTGACCATTTCCTCTAGGGTTGTAAGGAGTTGTTCGACTAGTTGCGATGCCTTGGGATGTCAAAAATGATCTCACTTGGTTCGACATGAATGAAGTTCCTCTGTCTGAATGTATATATGTAGGTGTTCCAAAGATGGAGAAAAGGTGTTTTAAGTGTTTTATCACTGTAGCGGCTGAGACATCCGCACATGGTACAGCAAAAGGAAATCTTGAAAATTCGTCTACAATAGTCAGAATATACTGGTTTCTTGTCCTCGTAGGTAAGGGTCCTTTGAAATCCAGATTTAGTCTCTCAAACGGTGAAGTGGCTTTTATTAATTTTCCTTCAAACTTGTGAAAACGTGGTTTCAATTCCGCACAAATTGGGCACGAGTTTGTGACTTTCTTAACATCTTCCATAGAAAAGGGTAGATTCTTAACACGGACCCAATGATTCAATCGTGTGATACCTGGATGACAAAGTGCAACATGTAATGTCTCGAGGTCCATACTTGTGGTCATAGCCGCACTCATTCTTGAGAAAGCATCTGCCGAAGCGTTTTCGCTCCCAGGACGATAGATTATACTAAATTTGAAACAGGCAAGTTCGAGTCGCCATCTTAATATTTTCTCATTCTTTATCTTGCTGGAGTGTTGTTGGTTAAACATAAATGAGACCGAGCGTTGGTCCGTAATAATTTCGAAGTGACGTCCAATCAGATAATGTCGCCAATAGCGTAAAGATTCTACGATGGCATAAGCTTCTTTCTCTATAGATGAGTGTTGTTGTTCAGATTTATTTAGTGTTCTAGAAAAGAAAGCGACGGGTCGTCCTGTTTGGCTTAGAGTAGCGGCTATGGCGAAGTCAGAAGCATCCGTTTCTACCCTGAGTGGTACATTATTTTGTACAGCAGCTATCGATGCCTTGGCTACGTCATTCTTCAAGCTCTTGAAAGTTGAGGCAGCTTCGTCCGACAATGGAAATGGATTCTTCCCCAGTAAAGGACGCACTCTCTCCGAAAACCTAGGTATCCATTTAGAATAGTGTGAGAGCATGCCTAAAGCTCGCCGTAATGTGGCCGCATCTTCAGGAATTGGTAAATCCATAAGGGGTTGGAGGCGCTTAGGATCAGGCTTAATTGTTTTATTGAAAATTACGTACCCAAGTAAGGTGACAGATCTGACGGAAAACTTGCATTTGTCCTTGTTTAGTGTCAAGTTGTACTTTTCAGCGGCAGCTAGGAAATTCTTTAGATTACGATCATGTTCCTCCTGAGTCTTTCCACCAATTGTAATATCATCCAGGTATGGATACGTACCCTCAAGTTCTTCTTCTTCAACAATCTCGTCCATTGCTCTCTGGAAACAAGCCACTCCATTCGTAGGCCCGAAAGGAATACACAGGAAATGATACAATTTTCCGTTGGCTTCGAAGGCAGTATATTTTCTTTCTGATTCTAAGATTGGCACTTGGTGATAGGCGCTTTTAAGGTCGATGGTGCTGAATACTTCATTCTCAGAGACTTTAGCGATTATATCTTCAATCCTTGGGGCAGGGTAAGCGTCTAGCATTGTAAACCTATTTATAGTTTGAGAGTAATTAATGACCATCCTCTCTTTGTGATTTTCTTCTCTTACTACGAAAGCTTGAGCACGTCACGGTGAATTGCTAGGTTCTATTATTTTATCTTGTAATAGCCTTTTAATTTCTGAAGCTATAAATTGTCTGTCTTTTTTGGAGTGTCTTCTAGATTTAGTTGCTATTGGAGTGCAATCTGGAGTAAGGTTAGCAAAGAGTGACACCGGACGCACCCTCGCAACTGCCACACTGCAAATGTTGAGTGTTGGTCGTTTACCAGAGAAAGCTATGCTTACTGAGGAGTGAGACTGCAGTACATCATGACCAATTATGACATCAGAGCAAAGATCTTTCATTACCAGCATTACAATATTGTTGTATGAGCAGCCTTTCATCTTAAAATTGACTTTGCATTGGCCTGTAATTTCCGTGGATAAAGAAGAGTTGGCCATTGTAATCTTGCCAAAATACGGTAGTACCTTGATATTGCATTTCTTTATAAAAGTATGGTTGATAAAACTTAGAGAGCTTCCAGTATCTATTAAAGCCTTTAATTTAACGCCATTGATTTTTATATCCACTATTGATTTCTTAAGACAGTTTAGAGTAGCAGCAGAGACAGATGCCAGTGTGCCAGCGCTGTCCGCGGATGCAGTAGTATTTGATGCGGGCTGGTAAAGTTTTGATTTACATACTCGTTGATAGTGTCCTTTCTTGCTACACAGTCTACATACAGCATTCCTCGCCGGGCACGACGTCCTAGGATGTCGACTCTCTCCGCAGAAGTAACACCTTTCAGTCTTTGTCACGCCTGCCACAGTTGTATCAAGTGTTACTGAGTCGGGTTTAACTGTATCGTTAATAGCAGCGACCGTAGTAGTGAGTGGTCCAGAGTATGAAGCAGAATGTTGCTCAGCCAGTTCCAGAGCTCGAGCTTGGTCAAAAGCAGCCTCCATAGTAAGCGTTGTATTTTCCAGCAACCTTTGCCGTATACGCGAACAGACCAAACCACTAATAAACGCGTCTCTAATATATTCGTTCTTATTCTGTTCTGCTGTGACGTTCTTAAAATTACAGTCCTTGCTCATTTGTTTCAAGACTTGTAAGTACTGATCTACCGATTCGCCGGCGTGCTGTCGTCTCGTGGCTAAGCAATGCCTGGCATAAATCTCGTTTCTAGGTTTTATATATAATGAATCTAAAACGTCTATGGCTTCTGCAAACGTGCCCGCTTCGCTAATATACTGATACACATTCGGGGCTATATGATTAGTTAATAGTTGACATTTACTTGCTTCTGGAACGTCTTTGATATGGCTCAAGAAATTTGAGAACGTTCGTTTCCAGTGTGTCCATTTCTGATCCGCCGAGATTGAGGTTGGTTCCACGTCGAATCTTTCTGGCTTCAAGAATTTATCCATCCTGTTCTGTTCGCTAAACTATTTGCCTGTTTGTAAAATTGTAGTGTTTATTAACCTTCTTTATTAAGGCTTTTACAAACAGGAAA